ACATGGAGCGATTAGGTACGTCCAGCTCCAAGAAAAGATGAAATTGCTTTGGGACGACGAGCTGCGCGTCAACACGGTGCGTCACCCACCCATTGATGGCGATGCCATGCGTAGTAGGTTCATGTGAAGGACGTGACGCGGGCGCTCTGGCACGTGGCGACGCGTGGCGAAGCTGGCCACGTCTACAATTTGGCCGACAAGAACGACACGAGTACGGGCGCACTATGCATCGACCGCCGATGACGTGGCGCGCTTAGGTCAAGGCAAGCTCAATGCGCTCCTCGGCCCGCTCTTTGGCATCGAGACGGGCTTCATCGGCAAGCTCATCTCGAACCTCGCGCGCGTGCGTCGTCTCGTCCATGCCATCGTAGTATCACATTGCTGTGTGTACTTTGGTAGCTCCGGCTCGGCGACGTCGTCGACGATGTCAACGACAAACACATGAAGCCGTGGTCCGACCTCTGCAGCGTACGACGGCGACAACATCGGGCTACTTGCTATGCCTTGTGTAGACGCACGGCGTGACCAACACGCCATTGACGCCGTACTTGGACAAGGAGCTGCTCGCGCACCACCAGCTGTACATCAACGGCGCCAAGATCGAAGCGATTGGGTTCGAGTACGCGTACCCGACGGTGCGCGCATCATCTCGTACAACGTATCTCATCCTCCTCCTCGTTGTCTTTGTAGCTCACCATCGACGAGCTCCGCGACGTCATTGAGGGCGCCATCGCCCAGCGCATCTTCCCGCCGATCCTCGCGTGAGCGGCTGCCAGGGTGCCACGTGGGATCCGCCAAACCATACTTTCACATACTACTTGGTGCGCTTCAACACGTCAAATAGTGTTATATTGCATCGCACGCGTTCTGTGCACTCCAGAATCGCGCAGTGGTCCGTCGTTGTCCAGAGAGCGACAACAAGCAAATGTGCCAACGAGATTGCGGGCATGGACGGGCGTCAAGCGCACGGCGACGCCGCGTAGAGATCAATGGCTCATGATTGTACACCATTTCCGTATACACTGTGGAAAAGCATACCTGTGGAAATGAATATGATGCGTGTATTTATGAGCTCCGGAAAAAGGCCGGGGTGGCACCCACGGTATTGTTTATTATATGAGTTGATAATGGTATGGTCGTGCGACTATTTTAAATAAATGGCGTGGCGATGGGGTAGAGGGTCCGCCAGTTGGCGATGCCCATACTGAAACCAAGTGAGTTGCGCGCCCGCAGCGAGCCACCTTGGCAGATTTGACCACACGAAGAGATGGCGGCAATGGCGCAGAAGGAGGAATGGCCGACGTCGGCCGAGGACTACAACGTCATCGAGAAGATCGGCCAGGTGCTGCGGCGCTGCCACGCTGCCAGCTCATGACCATGGCTCTAGGGCGCCTTCGCCAAGGTCATGAAGGCCTACTGCAAGCCCAAGGACGTCTTTGTCGCGATCAAGATCATGGACCTCGAGAAGATCACGACGAGCTTTGAGGATATCCGGGTACGCGACGAGCGGCCACGGCCAATGGTGCGACGTGTCGATGATGCTAGGCCGAAGTCCAGACGATGAAGATGACCAACCACCCGAACGTCCTCAACTGCTATTGCAGGTAGTCCGATGGCCTGCAAGTGCGACGTCGCGCTCATGTAGCGATAGCTTTGTGCACAAGGATCAGCTGTGGCTTGTCATGCAGCTCATGAACAAGGGCTCGTGTTTGCATGCCATGAACCAGCTCAAGAAGAAGTCGCTCGGCGAAGGCATGAAGGTACCCTGTCGACGAGTCAATCGGCACCGACATTGCATGTGCTGCTAGGAGGAACTCCTCGCCGTCATTCTCAAGGAAACACTTCAAGGGCTCCAGTACTTTCATGAAAACGGGCAGATCCACCGGTAGACGACGACGCATGCCAAGAATTCCTCATCCATGTGGCATCTAGTGACATCAAGGCCGGCAATATTCTGCTGGACAGCAACGGCCACGTCTTGATTGCCGACTTTGGCGTCTCGGGCTGGATGATGGAAGGCGGCGATCGCCGCAAGAACCGCCAGGTACATCACATCTTGTTGCTCTCGCCTCTCACGTGGTCGGCAGACGTTTGTGGGCACGCCGTGCTGGATGGCGCCGGAAGTGATGGAGCAAGTGCGCGGCTACGACTACAAGGCCGACATTTGGTCGTTTGGCATCACGGCCCTCGAGCTCGCCAAGGGGTATGCTCCGTACGCCCGGTACCAGCCCATGAAGGTAGAACCTTCGCTGTCGCTCGACGCCGCATGCATGGTTTGTTGTACCAGGTGTTGTTGCTGACGCTGCAGGAAGACCCGCCGTCGCTCCGAACCTATGACGTACCGTCGATCGTCCATCGGTGCGTCAGGTTGACGCTCTTGTTGTAGGACGATGGCACGGGGCATCAGTTTTCGCGCCATTTCAAGGACATGGTGCGCCTTTGCTTACAGAAGGACCCGGCCAAGCGGTACGACAGTACATCAAGTCTCTCGTCGTAATATGGGAACGTTAGGCCGTCGACGTCGACGCTGCTGAAGCACCATTTTTTTAAGAAGGCGGGCACGTGCCCGTTTTTGGCCGCCGAGCTGCTCTCCAAGGTCGACGACATTGGCGAGAGCTCGATGAGCACGCAGTCGCTTCCTGGGTACACGCCTCCTTTCCTTGGTGTATGTTGATGATGTGCGGTAGGTCGGGCCCTCTCTACTCCAAGGACGGCGCCGACGACGCCAAGTACGTGCCGGGCACGACGTGGGTCTTTGACGACGAGGACGACAAGCCGAAGGGCGCGGTGGACGACGACATGGACGACTTTGCGTCGCAGTTTGACAAGGTCAGCGGCGAGACGTACCGGAAAGACTAGTCGACGCAAATGGCAGTGTTTCAAGTTATCACCAAACATGGAATTTGCTTGATAGAAAGAAAAAAGTTGGAAGTTTTGGGTTCCACGAAAACCCACGCGACGCTCGCACACAGCGCTGCCTAGCTCGGAATCCCCAAGCGTTTATCCCGGATAAGACCCATCGGCGCGGCGTGCCATGAGCTCCACCGATATCAATCGACGGACGCGCTGCGTGTCGTCGGGGATTGTTTCTTGTCCTGCTTTGGCCTATGCAACGGGGTGGCAACGGGATGTCGTGATACAAATTGACTCGTATTGTATATCGGAGGCGGTTAAATTCGTAGGAGAGGTGTACATCTTTAACTGATTTGCTATTTGTTAATTTTAGAGAAAGTCATAGAGCATGTATCGGGATGTAGGCACCGCCTGACAGACGACTGCAGGCACCTTTTTGGTACTTCTACAGTCCTCTGGGCGACGCCGCAAGCGCAGCGATGAAGGACGGTGCGCAGGCGACGTCGGCGATGCCTGAATTTTAGTTTTGTGCTTGCTTGACCCTGCCACTCCACAGTAATTTGGACAGTGACAGTAACGCCTATACAAGCACGGTCTTTCGACTGCTCTACTCTACTTCGTTGGGTTCTTCTTCTACACTACTGCTGTCCTTGGCGCCTCTGCTTGGACACTCTAATTTGCAAATGAGAAACTCCAACGGAAATCCAGACAAACGATTGGCTGCGACGATACCTCTCATCCTCAATGTGCAAAATGCATTATCAGAGGATTGTCCAGATACCAGATCTGTATCCGGATGATCCGACACCAGGAATGTTGGTAGACAGGACATGAGCCAAAAATGCTCCAAAATTCTTGGCCGCTTCATGGCGACGTCGGTGACTTGTTGACACACGACGTTGCACAAGCCATGCGCGGGGCGCGGTCGCAACGAGCTCCACACCTCAAGGTGTCTAAACGGTGGGATCGAGCTCTACACCTCAAGGTGTCGACGCGGCGGGATTAAGAAATGACAGGTAGTCCTTTCTTCAAGCAACAAACGCGTGGGGCACAGAGTGGTAAGGAAGAGTGTCACGCCGGCTCGGCAAATAAACTCAATCTCAGTGTTAATATATAAAGAAGACTCTGTTTCGGGACTAGACCGCCCGCTCGGGCTGCCGCAGCCGGTCTTGTCCGCAGTTGGACTTGGAGGCGTTCACGGCGAGCATACCCGACGCATTCGCACCGCGTCGGCAGACGCGCGAGATGGGCGGCACCACGATCAACACGAGCGCCAGCACGTTGAGGACGAGGCAGCCCACAAACCCGAGAAGGTTCAGCGGCGTTTTCAGCAATATAAAGTACACGTGGCGACGCGCCATGCCAGCCCGCGACTCGATGCGGTCCAGAAGCGCGTGGCCGGCCTCGCGCGGACTGAGCGAGTTGGCAAAGTACAAGTCCATGTCGGCGACGCCGTCGGCGAGCTGGAGCGCGCTCTGGAGCGCGACAAGCGACACGGGCAAGAGGAGGAGGTGCACCACGAGGAACGCGAGACTCACGGGGACGTTGATGGCGCCGTAGGCCAGAAGAACCGGCGCAAACTGCGCCTTCCACGCCTCGTCGTCGGCCACCGGCGCCTTGTCCGCTACCAAGTGAGGCGGAATATCGCGCGGGACGGCCGACGCAGCCACGGGCGCCGTCTTGGGCGATGCCAGACGTGTGTACGTCACGGGCGGGAGCACTCCGTTGTTGTTGTTGTTGCTGCTGCTGCTGGACGATGAGGCCGAGGACGAGAGCACCGTGGTCGACGTCGGCGCGACAGGGACCACAAGATGATCCTTCTCGGGCGTGTGGTCCATCGCT